GGTCTCTTTCCCTCTTATTCCCATAAGACTCTGCCTTCACCTTTCTATGATCGTTGCCAAAATGTTTCTGAAACTCAATGAATTCTTCCATCTGCATATACTTTGTGGCCCTTCTATAAAGTTCTTCCATGCATGAAGCCGACTTCTTATATAAACTATCTAAGAAATCCCAACATACTTTTCAAGTCCTAAATTTTTCCATCCTCTTAGAAGGGACACCTCCATGATTTCATTAATGAAGGGTACTTCCGAAATTCCTCCAATATTGTTGCAAAATGGGGTGTTGATGTTCCAACTTGTCGAGAATTTGGCTTCCACGTAGGGTCTAATTCTAGTAGCTTTGTGTTGGATTGGGATTGCTCAATTAGTTGTTACAACTTGGCATTTTGTCATTAGAGAATAGTTATTTCCTCCTCATGTCATTTTTGTTTTTGTTTGCTTTGTGATTTCCATTGTTGTAGTTCTAGCTAGCCATAGTTCTGTTCAAATTTGAGAGTTGTTTAACATTCCACTGTGCCTGCTTGGTGAAGCTCTTATTCTTACCATTATCCAAGTTATGTAGAGTTCATAGGAAAAATTTTCTACGACCCCATGGTGGGTGCCAAATGCCCTTATTGGAAAATGAGTGCAAGAAGTCTTCAATTGAAAAACAGAATAATAATCCAATAGCCAATCCTAAGTTATTCTCGATGTCTTATATCCTAACAGAGAACTTTCGAAACAAGGACCAAGTCTCATCACCATCATCATCATCATCATCATCATCATCATCATCATCATCATCATCTTCATCAAAATCTTAATAAGCCTACATGCATTAATATTCATAACAACAACAACATAACAAGGTGAGTGAGAAAAATCTCACTTTAGCTTATGGCATGAAACAAGAGATGGGTAATCAAATAGACTCAATACATTCTTTATAGCAATAACATTGGTATTAACATATAATTAACACTATCAAACACAATAATTATTCACAATGCATCAATCATTAATCTCAAGATACAATACAATCAATGCCAATATGAGAGATGCAATAGACACAGACTCTTGATTTACATGCATGTGATACCAATCTTAAGATATGCATAGTGCATATATAATGATTTGCCAATTTGTGTGCATATGATGCATGTCACACAGACTCTATCATATCATGAATCACTACACATACTCAACGATTTGTCATACATACAATTTGTCATACACATGATTTGCTACTATACACACAATTCACCATACATACGATTTGCTATATACATGATTTACCATATACGCAATTTGTTATACATGTGCCAATTATCTCATTCAATCAATGTATTAAGAATACCCATGTTTATTTCACACTCATCAAATATTAGAATCACTCGACCAATCCACTTCAACTTGAGTAAAAGAACAAGTTCCATACCAAAAGTCACAATTATCATTTCAATTGGTGAAACATTCCAAAATAACCTTAGTAAACATATATAAGACACGAAATATATGCAATTACATACTTCTACTAATTACTCACAAAAATTTGTCAATATCATTCCATTTGCAACATTCATTCATCATAACATCACAATTTCATATTTACTCATCATGTTCAATCATATCCAGCAATTAGCACAAGGATCATTATGAAATCATCTAACACATGTGACACCTTAGCCATAGTCACTAAGATATCATCATCAAATTAAACATTTACATTAATAATTAACTAGTCTAGTAACATTATTGATACCACAAATTGACTCCTTAGACATCATTATTATCAAACACCTAAACTTGTTAACAATCAACATACATTATAACTTATTCGCAATTGTTCTCTCTCATGATTTATGTTTCCTAGACATTAATATAAGTACCTCAAATCATTCATAAGATCATACCTTTAAAGGGCAAAGCTATTCATTATCACTATTCACAATTACATTTCTATAACTTAATCTTCTAAGACATCATGTGGTCCAAACACCTTAGCTAAAGCTATATATATGATATTAAGTTAATATTAATTTTATTAGAAATTTAAGACAATTACCTAAAACTTCTATGTTGACATCAAGAGTTAATTATTTCATATACTATTTTTTAAAGTTACAAAATATTAGCATTTCAGACTAAACCTGTCAGTTTCATTAAGAGTTAATTATCTCATATACTATTTTTTAAAGTTACAAAATATTAGCATTTCAGACTAAACCTGTCAGTTTCACCTTTACTCACTAATTTGATCATAACTTTACATCTAGACCTCCTTTTTGGATGATTTTAGTGTCATTATAAAGCTAACATCTAAGCCTACAACTCTTACGAATAACACAACCTAATTCATCCATTTAAGGGCTCTCACAATGCTTATAAGTATCAGACGTTATGTTTCGTACATAGAATGTGAGACTCATCTTGTGACTAACATAACTCACTTGTTTCTTAACATTTTTATGTAATTCTTTTGTCTAAACTATAGCCCCAAATGTATACTTTCTAACCTAACATTTAGAGACTCAATTTCATTAATCACATAAATACCAAGGTATATTCTTACCAAAATTTTCACAATCACGCACAACTTACATCCAAACTCTCTTCTCCAAATCGAATCGGTAAAAACATATACTAAAACCTAATATTAATCTATTATATCATCAATTACACAAATTCAATCTCAATTTCATATAATTGCATACTCATAACATTTTCTTATATAATTACCCAAATACATTTCCTTAAAGTTCCCATAGGAACTCACATACAACTCAAATCATATAAAAAAATATCAATACATGAAATTAATCATAGATAATCATAATTACAACAATTATAAGAGTAAAAAAAATCATAAGAAAAACTAAAATTCAAGAACAAAACACATTTAGAAATTCCCCTTTATATTGATAACCAATTCAGATCTTCAAACACTTTTGAATGGAGGTCGATATTTTGTCATCTATGAGACTTCTCCTTTACAATATGTATTAAAGAAAAATTAAAGATTCAAAACAAGCCTAATTGTCACTTGAAAGTTTCAAAAGAAAAATAGGATGAAACAATAATATTAAAAAAGCTCTAAGAAGAAAATTATTTCACTTATATCCAAGTCAATTATTGTATTTTTTTTATGAAGATAATATTGATAAAAAGTTAAATACTGAAAGCAGTCACAATTTTTTTTTTAAAATAAAGAATGTGTTAAAAAAATTATTAGAGAGAAACTATTTGATTAAACTTTCCTATAATACTTTTTAAATGAAAAACTAAAAAGAAAAATTAAAATTAATTTTTTCACAAACTAAAACTAACTTACCCATAAATCGAAAATAGGATTTGAGGGATATTAATATAAGAGAAAACTTCTAAAAATTAACCAATGATTAAGTTAATTTTACTTATAAAAAAAAATAAAAAAACTTTTCTATAGCCTAAACAGATCTAGTAAGATTTTACTTACATTTTAATTGAGTTAAATTAATTTAAGGACACTTCTGCGAAAAATCAGATCCAGAATAAATTTACATAAACTTTTATGTTAAAAGAAATCCAGAATATCGTTATCATGTTTTCTTAATCGAAACAAAGTCATTTAATAGCTGAACATTCGGCATGTACTATGATCATAACAAGTTAGACAAAAAGACAGATTCTTATTAAATACATTACGTCGTTATCTAATCGGCGTGTAAACCACGCAATTTTTATCAGAAAGAATCATTCAACTAACCGACGACACAATGCATATAACTTCAAAATTATTAGCCTATAATTTTATCAAGCCTAGACAAGACTACGCAATTAATTCACCGATGGAAGCAAAGAAACCATTTCAGTTTGCAAATAACACTGTTCTATGCCTTTCTCCCGATTTCATTCTCCCAGAGGAGAAACGACCATGCCTTTCAGAAGTTTCCCACACGAATTTAGTTCCCATAATTGACCTAAAAGGCTATGGCGAAGACCAAAAGAGTTTGGTGCAAAACGTGTCAGATGCATGCAAAAAATTGGGAATATTTCAGGTGATGAACCATGGAGTACCAAAAGATTTATGTGAAAGCGTGATGGTTGCTCTGCTGGAATTCTTTCAGCTGCCACATGAAGAAAGAGCCATTTACTTCACAAGAGATTTCACCAAACAAGTCAAAATCTTCAACTACTCCTACAAGGGTGATGATCAAATGAAGGTTACAATGTGGAGCGAAACCTTCACTCACCCGTGGCATCCCACCCAGGATTTCACCCATCATTTGCCAACAAAACCTCTTCAATATAGGTATGAACTATAAACAATTGATCAAAATCTCCCCCTCTTTTTTCAAGTATGGGAAGTAAAATCATATATTTTTTAGAACCACTGTGGTTAATTACGCTCGGACCAAGTTTTTATTTTTTAAAAATTAATTTTAATATAAATAAATAATTAATATATTTAGGAAAGTGTATTAGATTGAAATTTTGAAAAATAATTTTAACATTAAAAGTCATGTGAATTTAATAAATTATAAGAGGGTTTGTAGGAATGTCATAATTTTAACGATTTCTTTTAAATTTTTTTAAAATTTAAATTTTAGTCAAGATTTTAAAATTTAAATTTTAATAAATTTAAATTATAAGATTTTAAAGGATTTTATAAATTTTATAATAAGAAAATATAAATTTGTAATACTACAAGATTTAATAAAAAAATAATATAAATAATAAAAATAAAATTAACACAATTTTTCTATTCTCTTATAAATAATTATCTCTACTTTTTGATAAATAATTAATTTTAATGTTTTCCTAACTACCATTTCTTTACATGTATAAAATTATACAAATCTTTCGTACATTGACATATTTTCTTTCATACACTTAAGTTTAATAACTTCAAAATTATAATTTTTATTAGTCATCCACTAATTCAAATGGAAACCCATCAAAACTATACTTTTTACAAAGAAAGTTATGTAGTGCTACATATTAATACAAGTTCATCTTGGGACTTAAATAGAAATAAAGACTCTAATTTAAAAATTGTAAAGTGTGATTTAAAAATATTAAATATTCTCTCAATCACATTTTTTATAGATATATGACTTAAATTGAATTTTTCATTTTCATTTGAGGGTCATTAGCATTATAATTTTTTTTAATATATGTTTCAATATATTTTAATATTAAATTTTATTAAAAAAAATAGTTAATTTTTTTTATAAATATACATAGATATTATTATAGATTATTAATTTGAGAATTTTATTATCGTTTAAAAATTTAAATTCTATTTATCATGAATTTAAATAAAAATGGTATTGAATTGTAATTTTACAAAAATAGTACGATCTATATTAAAAAAAAAAAACAAGGAAAATAATGGTGATGAAAACATCCCGTCAAATATTGATTCTTTCGATTCTACTAAAAAGTTATTTTTTTTAGTTTTGATTATTGTACATAAAAATCAAATTAATTTTGTCATTACAATGTAAGGAAATTGTTATATAGTGACACACATCCTATAGTGACACAATATGTATCACTAAAAACTACTTTTACCTATACACAATAAATATAATATATATTAGTATATTGTTAAAAAATGTAAGTATAAATTATAACACACAAAATATGTTATTAAATCTCATTCAAAATCAATACTAAAATTGTGTGTAACTATATATGCAATTAGATATATACCTACATATATTATACTTATAGTGACACTTTTTGTATGTCACTAGATGTAACATTTATTGTAGTGTTAACAACTTATTTTAAAAAAATTTAAAATATGAAATTACTTTGATTTTTATTCGAATTTCAATAAATAAGATTTTTAATGAGAATGACAGAAAAAAATTATTAATTTATGTTAGTGATTTTGAATTTTTCCCTAAATTTAAATTACATAAAAAATATTAAAAAAATAAAATAATTTCCTGTTAAAAGTATTAAATTATATTAAGAATTTATTTGTTTTTAAATGTGTGCGATGTTTTTAATTATTGTAACATATGTTTTTTAAAAAATAATTTGTTTTTAGATTAATTGAGTGAGACATAGAGATTTTTTTATTATTGAATTTAATTAAAAAATGTATTGTTTAAAATTTAAAAGAATAAAGTTAAAAATTTATTAATTATGAGTAAAATTTAAATAAAAATTTGCCTAAAGTCTAAATATTTTTTAAACACACCCGAGCTTGCTAAATTACTCACTAGGCTACAATACAAGTATGTCATAAAATTTAGAATAAGGAGCTCTTGGAGTATTTAGTAGAAAAACAAAATGTAATTAGATCATATCGGTATATATACATAATATATATATATATATAGGGAGCGTATCAAGTGAGAAGTTTTTATTGTGAGAAGGTGAGAAGGTGGAAATATAACCCTTAGATTAATCAAGTGAGAGAAAATTTGGGATTTAATCAAGTGAGAGAAAATTAACCTAAAGGTTATATTTCCACCTTCTCACCTTCTCACAATAAAAACTTCCCACTTGATACACTCCCTATATATATATATATATTAAATTTGACTTGATCATGTATTGGTGTTAATTTTATGAAGCAAAGTGATGGTTTTCTTTCAAAGCCACAAAATAAATTTATTTATTATATTGTATTAGGAATTAAATTGACCCATATAATGTTAGTTCCAATGCTTAAATTGATGTTTCATTGTAGAAAGTTCAGTTATGATCCATAAATCATTTCATTTTCTTAATTTTTTTTATTGGATTTAGAGATGTCTTCACTGCATATGCAAGGGAGATAGGTTGTCTCATGAATAGGCTTTTCAGTTTGATGTCGAAAGGACTAGGGTTAGAGGAGAATTCCATAGTGAGAAAGTTAGGTGAAAGGCCTAATCATTATTCACAAGCAAATTACTATCCACCATGTCCAGAACCAGAGCTCACCATGGGATTGAATGAACATAATGACATCACTGCACTCACTATACTACAACAGTTGGATGGAGTCTCTGGCTTGCAAGTGAAGTATGATGAGAATTGGGTAGCGGTTGACCCTGTCCCAGGTGCTTTGGTCATCATTTTGGCTGATCAGATGCAGGTACATATAACAATTTGATATTAATAAATTACTAATATTTTAGTATGTAAAATACACATGTTAAATATCAATTATATATAATTAAAATTTAAAATAAATTATATATAAATAAGTTATTCTCGATGTCTTATATCCTAACAGAGAACTTTCGAAACAAGGACCAAGTCTCATCACCATCATCATCATCATCATCATCATCATCATCATCATCATCATCATCTTCATCAAAATCTTAATAAGCCTACATGCATTAATATTCATAACAACAACAACATAACAAGGTGAGTGAGAAAAATCTCACTTTAGCTTATGGCATGAAACAAGAGATGGGTAATCAAATAGACTCAATACATTCTTTATAGCAATAACATTGGTATTAACATATAATTAACACTATCAAACACAATAATTATTCACAATGCATCAATCATTAATCTCAAGATACAATACAATCAATGCCAATATGAGAGATGCAATAGACACAGACTCTTGATTTACATGCATGTGATACCAATCTTAAGATATGCATAGTGCATATATAATGATTTGCCAATTTGTGTGCATATGATGCATGTCACACAGACTCTATCATATCATGAATCACTACACATACTCAACGATTTGTCATACATACAATTTGTCATACACATGATTTGCTACTATACACACAATTCACCATACATACGATTTGCTATATACATGATTTACCATATACGCAATTTGTTATACATGTGCCAATTATCTCATTCAATCAATGTATTAAGAATACCCATGTTTATTTCACACTCATCAAATATTAGAATCACTCGACCAATCCACTTCAACTTGAGTAAAAGAACAAGTTCCATACCAAAAGTCACAATTATCATTTCAATTGGTGAAACATTCCAAAATAACCTTAGTAAACATATATAAGACACGAAATATATGCAATTACATACTTCTACTAATTACTCACAAAAATTTGTCAATATCATTCCATTTGCAACATTCATTCATCATAACATCACAATTTCATATTTACTCATCATGTTCAATCATATCCAGCAATTAGCACAAGGATCATTATGAAATCATCTAACACATGTGACACCTTAGCCATAGTCACTAAGATATCATCATCAAATTAAACATTTACATTAATAATTAACTAGTCTAGTAACATTATTGATACCACAAATTGACTCCTTAGACATCATTATTATCAAACACCTAAACTTGTTAACAATCAACATACATTATAACTTATTCGCAATTGTTCTCTCTCATGATTTATGTTTCCTAGACATTAATATAAGTACCTCAAATCATTCATAAGATCATACCTTTAAAGGGCAAAGCTATTCATTATCACTATTCACAATTACATTTCTATAACTTAATCTTCTAAGACATCATGTGGTCCAAACACCTTAGCTAAAGCTATATATATGATATTAAGTTAATATTAATTTTATTAGAAATTTAAGACAATTACCTAAAACTTCTATGTTGACATCAAGAGTTAATTATTTCATATACTATTTTTTAACAGACAATAGGCCGAGAGGGTGGCCCGAACCGAAGAGCCATACCGTGTGGCACCCCCTCGGTCGGACAATAGGCCGAGGGGGGGGCCCGAACCGAAGAGTAATACCGCGTGGCACCCCCTCGGTCAGACGATAGGCCGAGAGGGGGGCCCAAACCGATGAACCACAGCACCCCCCCTCGGCACCATACCTAGTCGAACACCCCCTCGGCCTCAGGCTAGGCCGAACACTCTTCTGGTCCCTTGGGAAAGACCCAAAGAGTAGTAGTTACTCAACAACGTCCTTTCGGCCCCAAGCTTGGCCGAACACCCCTTCGGCCTCAAGCTTGGCCGAACACTTCCTTCGGTCCCAAGCTTGGCCGAACACCCCTTCGGCCTTATGCCTAGCCGAAAGCATAGTTGATGGAGCTAAGTTGAAGAAGATTGGTGAACTTCAACTTCTCCATGCTTAGGACCGAATCTCTTGAGGTTGACCTTAGAAGAATCTTGAAATCTCCATGAAGAAGTCTTCAATGGAGGTGAAGCCTTGGAAGAAGGTTCGGTTACTTCTCTTGGATGGAGAAGCTTGAAGAACCTAAGCTAAGGTTTGAAGAACTTTGGAGGATTTCTTAGAGTAGAAAATCCTCACGGTTTTTAGGACTCTTGAGTTGAGAGAAATCTGAAGATTTAATCTCATTTATGTTCAAAAGTGTCTTACAAAGTGTAAGGACCAAGTCTCATCACCATCATCATCATCATCATCATCATCATCATCATCATCATCATCATCTTCATCAAAATCTTAATAAGCCTACATGCATTAATATTCATAACAACAACAACATAACAAGGCGATAATAATTTATATTATGACGTAAGATTATTTTTATTGATAATTTATTTTAAAATAATTAATTTTAATTTATAAATAATTATTATAAATAAAATTGAATATAATATGAAATTAAAAAAATCTAAAAATCTTCTCAAAAGAAATTTCTTTAAAAATACTTTCGTGATAGTTGTTTGTGTTTTATATATAAAAATTTATTAGAAAATATCTTACATCACTCTTCATCTATTGTTTTTATTAAAAGTATAAAGAAAACAATTTAAATGTGCAACAATATTAATTATATATTATTCCAATAAGCAGACCTTCTTTTTTTTGTTTTGTTTTGAATGGACCAAAATTTGCGATGAATGATTGGTTTAAATAAATCTTTGGTGTCCGAAATTTTGACCGAAAATTCTTCCGATTTAATTATGATTTACAATAATAATTTTTTTAATTAAAAAAGAAAGCTTTTTAATGGGTCAAAAGATGATGGAATGAAGTTTTGGAGGTTATATCATTTTTCTTAAATAAATTCATCATTTTAGTACAAATTCATCATCTCATTCCTCGATAATTGCAAAGTGTTAAGAGTTAACTG